AGTTGTTTTAGTGTCTTTCAGAGGTGCGTTATCTCATTACACTGCACCGTGTAAACCGGCTCCATCGCCTGCTTATTAGATTTAGTTGGACAGAGAACATTCTGCTAATTAATGCTGCCGGCAGGCTGTGTGTGACTGACTGTGTTTGTGTGTGTCTGCGGCTACTCGGAGTGTGCTGAGCTGAGATCTGTGAACCTCATTAGTGTTTGTGTGCGCATGCTTGTGTAGACCGCTGTCTGTCTGTCCGTCCGTCCGTCCGTCCGTCCGTCCGTCCATCTCTATACCCGTGTGCAGATGAGAAATGTAAATGGTATTTCTGTTTGCGTGAGTGTGACCGTGCATGTATGTGCGTGTTTACCTTCGACCCTCCTCTGAGGCAGGATATGCAGGCAGACTGGCAGAAATTTGCATCGGCAGCAGCACCGGGGATCTGTTTGATCTGCTCACTTATAACACGTCAGGTGGCCTTCCTGCAGAGAACCCGGGCAGCCAGGGAGAGGCACGTCCACAGATGAGGAGGGGAGAGAGAGAGAGAGGAGAGAGAGCAGTCACACTCCGGCTAAAGCGCAAACCGGAATATGCAACATAAAAAATGCGGCCAAGGGTGGATTTAATAACAGTGAAGGTGGAAGTGAGTGATAGACGGGCAAGGACATGGAGGGAAAAAGCGCTAGAGAGAAAGTGATGGAGGCCAGAGTGAGTGAGAAATGGACAGTAGATGGTATTAATAGATTTTTATTTCAGAATAGCTGCATTCTGTTGTGGGTCATCACATAGAGAGAACGTTTTGACTCATTTAGCTCACAGGACAATAAATATTCTCTGTTTTGTGGCTGAATACAGTTTAAAAACTCACATAGATAGACGTGCTCAGTGGAGGTTTCTAAAGAGAAAACACACCCTGTTTACTAAAACCTACCTTTCTATACAACTGTTTGTTGTGTAGGAACGCGATTGTCAGAAGACGGGCTGTTCGGACAAACACTTGCTCTGTTGTCAGCTTTACATTGTCAACACTGTGTCCCTCCTCCGTCTCTGTCGCAAACACTCAGGCTGGATGTAAACATACACACAGTACCATGACCTCCTGCTCCTGTGTAGCAGCTGAGCTTAGCATATTGTTGGCTGTTGCTGCAAGTGCATGACAACATGAAGACAACATGAAAGAAACTAAACTTTTACTGCCACTGCGACAAACAACCAAACAGTCAATGCTGCAGAAATGGAAAATATAATCACTGCATCCACAAACTAATAATTTTATCCAACCAATTTGTAGAAAACACATTGTTCATCTAGCTCATCAACATCTCTCTCTGGTTGTCGTCTTCATCTCACACACACACACACACACACACACACACACACACACACACACACACTGAGCCTTTTCTCATTCTTATATTGCCTTAAGAGGTCCAACCATTATGCTTTCTAGAACATAATACTTAGCACTGATGAATTATAGATGCCCATGGATTCCAAGCAGCCTATTTTTAGAATGCACACATGCATGCCCCCATACATGTGCAACACAAACGCACACACACACACATTCATGAAGCGATTGCTTTATGAAGATTAAGTTTCTGCTTGCAGAGTTTTTAGGCATGAAAAGTAAAGATTATTAAAAAACAAAGCAGTCAATAGTTTATGTCTTTGGGTTACTTCATACAAAGTGGCTGCACCAAAACAAGTTTTTGTCCTTCGAACAGCATCCGGTTGTTTTTGGTGCACTTGCTCGCTGGTTTTCAAGCTATTTGGCAGCTTGTTCCAAGCATCTTTGGAGAATTTACCACAGTTCTTCTGTGGATTAAGACTGTGCCAGTTTCTCCTTTCGTAGTCCCAGATTGACTCCATGATGCTGCAGGACTTCTTGTTCTTGTTCTTTATGACTCTCCATATGTTTTGACTCATTGGGAGAATTCCCTCCTCCCTGATGCTATTATACGATGCTAAATAATCCAAACATCTGAAGTGCCTGAAACTTTCCCACAGCACTGCACTTGTTTTTGTAAATGATGTGCATGGTCGTACGAAGGCGTCAGTGTGTACAAGTGCATTTGTGTGGCTGTGCTTGTCAATGGCTCACTCTGCAAGCCTTAGGCTAGCGATACTTTATGCGAGGGTCAGCGCAACTTAGCTCAACTTTTTGTGACTGCACTACAAGGGCGCTGGTGTGCATGCTTGGCAATAATGTGCTTGTGCAGAATATGTAGTTCCGAGCTACTGTGCATGTCTGGAACAAAGTCCTCCAAGTGGACTCCACAAAAATAATAGACAACAATGCAACTGTGGTGTCTGCAGCTGCTCGAGCGCACGTCCCCAAGGGAGTGTAATCAAGCTTTAGTGCTCTATGCAGATTTATTGCTCAGATATGATTTGTTTGTTGAGCAGTTTACGTTATTTGTTTAAATGTAATCAGTATTAGATTCCAGTGTGAACTGAACCATATGCTCAAGAGAATCTTTATATAACTCACTCATTCAGATTGCATTAAGCTTTATACATGCACAGGTGCAGTCGATGGACGGTCCATGATCCAGAGACATTTGCACCTCAGCTCCACTCCTGCTCCACCTCCTTTCCCATTTTTTGGATTATCCAAGATTCAGCAGGAGTCGGAGTCTAAAAGATCAGCCTCCATGAGATTTGTATCAGTATGAATTTAGCCTGAGTTTTAATGTTGTGCTTTCTGTACTTGCCATCAATACACAAGAAATGTCCAACGTGTACGACAGTGGTACGTGTCCATCGAGACTAGTTGTCACAATAGAAACTTCTGTCACTTTGTCAGAGTTACCAAACCGACAGATGAATAAATATGATCTCATTGACAAGCGTCTTTGTGCTGGTGACAAATTAAACTAACGTCCAACTCGGCACACAAAGTTTGCTTTCCTTTGAAGCGCTCGCACGTTTCCATGGAGACAGACATGATCATTTTACTTTGCAAACACAGTGAATCATATAATAGGATGCTCGTCACTGTCAGTGCCACTACTCGAGCTGAAGGAGATAAAACAGACGCACTTGTGTTTTTATGACAACGAATTGTGCTCAGATCAAAGATTCAGCGCTGAAATCAAAGTCGAGAACTTAGTTAGGTGTAAATAATTAAATCTGTCAACATTAGGCAAGTACACGAGATGGTCTGACTTCCTGCTTCCTTCTCCTGTTTCTTTTCTGGACGTTCTGTGTGCAGGAGGCATTCCCTCCAGCTGCATACATGCAGACTGTCCCTGAAAACAATGAAAGCAAAGACACGCTTCTCCTCGCCGATCGGCTTGTTTTGCATATTCTCACTAAAGTCACAGGAGGCGTGATGCTGCCCTACCCCCCACCCTTCCCCCCACGGCCTCCCTCTGATGGAAATGAATGGCTCGATCCGCCCATGATGACACTGATGTACTATTAGGGCCAGCGTACTGCTTAGCCCAGCGGAAACAGGGTTCCCCAAAACATAAATCAAATCCACGCCTGGCGAAGGAGTTGGTTCGTAATTCTGCACCGTCGGACTTCTGAGCCAACACATTGTAAGAAGATGACCGGACTTCCCCAATTATTGGGACGTTTACGAGAACATGTGGGGGAAGAGTCGGGATTACAGCAGAGTGTTTGTGCAGCAGTTCGTCTCCCCGAGAACAGAAACGCTGTGGGCCGGGCGGCTGTTGGCCGAGCTATAAATAGCTTTGTGGTGACAGCAGGACTTCCAGCCTGATGTGAGAGGGAGCATCTTCCAGAGGTCCACGTGTATTATTTAAAACTTAACATACATGTCGTTTTTAACACGAGTAGGACTCGTCATGGCTCTTGTCCAACCATTTAGTGAATGCTGGTCACTCAGCGTGTCACAGTTTAAGCCTAAACCTCCTCTGGTCAGTGATTTAACCCCCAAATCTCCTCTCTGACCATCAAAGTTACATATTTAGTAGTTTTTAGATGAAAATAATCTCTTCCTGCCTTAAAATGGCTCAGATGTCACTAGATCACCTGCAGATTTGCTCAAACTCTGTAAAGCTCTGGTCCACACGGTGGCAAGTATCAGTAAGAATCCATGTTTTTAGGACAGCATGGTTTCAAGGTGGAAATGCTCAGCCGGGATGTTGACTGCTTATTTTACTCATGATATGTGTTGCAGCATATAAAGCATCATATGGACATGATTCTGATTGAGTTAGATTTAAAATATCCTGAAGGTGGTCTTTTCTTTTATTGTCAGAGTTTTGTCTGAAGCTAAGACAACTGGTAGAAACTTCCCACCGTCTCTGCTTCCTCTCTGCTAACCCTCCCGTCTCCTGTTTGATGAATTAGGGATATTTAGACGTGAAGCATTAGCGGCACGCAGAGCTGCATTAAATTTACCTCCCACTGCGGGACCGCGGCAGTTCTAATAATTGGGCCTGAACAAACGAGAGCCTCAAGACCTGAGAGCAGCTCTGTTTTATCTTTACTTTTACTTTGATGGAGCATTCAGGGAAAATGCATGATTATTATTCGCGTGGCATTTTGATGTCATGTGGCTGCATTATTTAAACCATTTGTTAACACATTAATGTTAACTTGAGGCGCACGGTGATGCTGGCAGTGTGTTTCACTGTACTGAACTGTGCAGCGCAGCCTCAGGCCATGTCTGGATGTATGAAATCATTCAGCTCCAGAGGCTTTCATCTCTGTGGACCTCTTAACCTTTTCACCCTCATTTTTCTGCCAGGCCTTTCTGCTCACACAGCTTTATCTGGGATAAGATGTTTGAATGTCAGAAGTGTTAATGGAAAGCTCCAGCGTCAAACTGTACTGTATGTGGAAGGCTGTTATGTTACTGTTCAGGATATACCATTTTATTTTGAGCAGAAAATAATGAAGTTTAAACTAAACAAACCTGTCTTTAAGACTGATGGGATTCATGATTTGAGGATTGTATTGCAGTGACTCGCATCCTAAGGCAATCAAAGTTTATTGTCCATTTCTAATTGTAGTTTATTTTTTTTGCTGGTTAGGTTCAAACTTCCTCTGCGCCACCCACATCATCCCCGTGAAGAACGAAGAGGGTGTGGTCATGATGTTCATCCTCAACTTCGATTACATCCTGGACGAAGGCAGCAGCGACTCACTGGAGAGACTCAACCACACGTCCCCGTCCAAAGCTGACCAACGTGAGTAAAGACAGAGCGGCCTGGGGAGGAGGAGGAGGACCAGGACAGATAACACCATGTGACATTTGGTGGGAGCTTTTATTCCTCCCCTGAGTGTAGCTGTGCTGGAGTCATTCAGTAAATATTGTGTTACAGATCCTGCTGGTAAACAGGTGGCCATACAATACATCCTCAGGACTGATCTTGATAAAGCACTGCACGTGTACTGTTCATATACGCCAGAAGAAAGATGTGGTCGCTGGGTGAGACTGCAGGAGGAAGGAGTAATGTAGCAGCCAGTCATGACCTTTAACTGGTTTCCCACATCCACATGGATTTGTGCCTCTATCCCACTATCACCACTGTGTCTCAACAGTTTGACATGTCACTAATATTAACGCTACACATGCTGCTGTCTGCTATTATCCATGCATTACTTGAGCATCTTAGCTTAGCTGCAGCTTGTACCTACATTTCTACTTGCAGCAGGAGTGCAGCTGCAGGAATTCCCTGCTAGACAGCTCCTTTGGCATGTTGACACCAGCGTTTAGCAGACACTGATGTGTTAGCCTGCTATCATCTCAAAGGTCTGGCCCAATTATAGCTCCTAGCCTGCCAGGCTGGCCTGATGAACTACTGGAGCAGTGCTGTGAAGCACTCAGCTTCCCAGAGCTGTCGGTGTAATAGTGTATAATGCCATTCCCCAGCGGTGCTCTTGAACATGCTCTTGATGCCTCCTCTCACTTTGAAATCTCTCTCTTTGTCCATTTTCTGTCTGTGACGCGTAAAGCAGCAGCACGGAGGACCAGAGGTTAGCTCTAGATGACTGTAATTGGATGAGGCCCCTAACAGGCTGCAATGCCTCATGGGGTGTGCGGTGAGAGAGGCGGGATCTGTGTGTCGAGTTTCTAAGTGTGTTTGTGCACCCTACCCGGTAGCATGCACACTGAGACTCTGGAGAAACCATGCATGAAAGTAGAAGCTGTATAGTCTGTACGTGTTAGTGCAGGAGTGTACATGTCACTGGTAATGCTGCCTTCTTTTGCTTCTTTAAGCGAAGTAATTGCCCAGTCTGAGCACAAGGGCAGCCCCCCGATGAAGCAGGCGTTTATGAATTCAAGTCTGTTCATGCCTATCTGCATATCTAAGTGGGCATCCCTGCAAATCTGGTGGTGAGGTCCAGATTTGCTTACAAGGTCGAGTCCCGACGCTGGACACGTATCTGCCTGCCTACACGCAACCTCTGCTGTAGCAGGCATTACTATAGAGAGTTGGTGTGTTTTGGCCTCATTTCATCTCAGCCCTCTCTCAGCTAATTCCAGAAACCTAGTATTGCACTTTTTTTTTTCTACTAGCAGATGGACAGAGGTCACTAATGATGAGTAACTCTGCATAATTTATGAGGACATCACAGAAGAACACGCTGCTGTGGATGTAAATTCCACTCAGTGAAACCTTTTGCTGTTCTCAAGGTAGCTTTACATAATGTGTAGAATCAGCTGCCTTTGGATGTGATGCCAGCAAGGTGATGAGCCATGTACTGTATCTGGGGAATGCACTAAGCACTGCTTATCAATTGCCTTTTCGCCTCGTGGTGATCCAGCCAGTCTTCAGCCATCTTGGATTCTCACAGTCTGAATTAATGTGACTTAGCAGGGCCACCTCTACACATGCATACATTACACAATAAAGGGAAGGACACTTTAATGCTTTACTGGTTTCAGAGCTACACTAGGCTACGTAGGACACACCTGAACATCAGAAGGCAAATAAGAAGCACAATATGTCCACTCCAAAGGCAGATAATGACCCACATAGCATGTTGTCAGTACAATGGGTCAGTAACAAGCGCTGAAGTAACCTTTTTATTACAGTTGCAATTAAAGCTGCAGCGGCCAGAAAATGAAAACTACCAGAATTTCAAACTGTAGCTCTTCCCTCTCTGCGCTGTAAGCCCGTCCTGCTAGGTGAGCACGCACTTCAAACAAAGGTAGTCCAGCTGGATCAAGCCACTCTCTGAAGAACCTTCATCTGAACACATCCCGTCTTCACCACAGATTATGCTGCTATATATACTATCTCATGTGATTGGTGAACATCTCCCTGCCTGGAAGCTGAGCCAACAGGAGGTACAGAAGCCTAGTTTCCTCTCAGACCACTTGAATTAGAATATACTAAAAGGTTAATGTGGAGTTTCTGCCCAATAAAGCCAAAAAATACTGCTTACCTTGTGACATGTGAGCAAAACAACATGAGCAGTTCTCAGTGTTTTGTTCTCCTCCACTCTGAGAACTTCCCATCACCTGAACTTTAACACAACCTGAACTCATAAGAATCTGTCCAGTCCTAGTTTAGGCACCAGATGAGGAGCCTCTTTAACAAAGCTGTGCATAGGATCCACACCGCAGGTTAAACCCTGCACAGTTTTTTTCCTTTTTTAGGTAAGCCTCATGTCCCACCCACCATCAATTAGAAATGGTCAATGCACATCCCCGATTAATCCTGATGTGCATAGTCTACCTGTAAATAACAGAGGCTGTGTTACAAACAGAATCACGTTTGAGGGCCCTACAGCTGCAGCAGCTGTTAATGCTGCAAAAACAAATTCTTCAAATTAAACAAATCAGTCAGACATGGAAATGTGCTCTGCTGCAGGCTGCTGGAGGCACAAGGATGCCAAAGCTCACCGCTTAGTGTTTGTTAAGCATCTGATGCAGCTTTCACAGAGCTGGTGGAATCACACCGATAAACAAAATACTGCATTTACCTGCAGAATCAAGAGTACACAGTCGTAAACACAAATGTACATATGCTTTTAAGAGAACGTATATCATAGCAGTCCTGGGTTTCCAGTGAATCCTACAACTCTTAATTTTCTATGATAGAATGATTGAAATTCATCTTCGTCACAAGAATATCATTCATTTTGGTTCTTTCATAAATGACACTTATTTTACAGCGTTTCTCTTTCACCCATTCACACACGTTCATACACCAATGGCGACAGAGCTGCCATGCAAGGTGCTGCCTGCCATTGGGAGCAACTTCGGGTTCAGTGTCTTGCTCAAGGGCACTTCAGCTGTGGATGGGCCAGAGGTCGAACCGCCAACCTTGCGATTGGAGGACAACCCGCTCTACCACCTGAGCCACAGCCGCCCAGACCAAATCTGCTGGGTCAAAAATACACACACAGCAGCTTAATGATCAGTTCTAGTGATGCAGGAAGTGTTGATCAGATTGTTTAGCGGCGTAATCCGTTACCTTGAGTGATTGACTACAGCTGATGTCTTTTGTGAGAGAAAAAGCTATTTTACCACAATGACCAGAAATATGTTTGGAGGAGAGAAGGTAAGGCCCTTAACCCCAAGAGCTGGTGGCAGCATGATGCTCTGGGGCAGTTTTGGTACCAGTAGAACTGGAGCTTTACAGAAAGTAAATGGAATCATAAAAAGGAGGATTACCTCCACATTGTTGTTAAAAAATTAAACCCATCAGCCAAAAGGTTGGTCTTGGATGTAGTCGGGTGTTCCAACAAGACAATGACCACAAACACAACAAAAGTAGTAAAGAAATGGCTAAATGAGGCTAGAATGACAGGTTTAGACTGATCTAAACAGAAAGTCTGTGTCAGAAAGCCAATTGCACCAGTTCTGTCAAGAGGAGTCAAAGACAACCAGAATCTTGTGGACAGCCACCAAAAGTACCAAACCGAGGTGAAAGTGGCCAAGAGACATTTAACCAAATGTTAGAATTGCTGTATGTGTAGTTTTACTCCAGCAGATTTTGTCATATGTCCAGAAGACCTGTAAAGAACCAAAAGGCTCTTTGTGACCAAGATGCTGTGTTCCGATCATCCTATCACAGAAAATGAACAGTTGTAAGAGTCACTGGAAACTCAGGACTAACTTTATATTCACGGTCTTTACAGGTGTATGTAAATCTTTATTCACAACTGCAGGTGTTTTTCATTTGCACAGCTGATGATGAGTGCAGGTGGAGGAGAGGTGGAGTGTGTGGACTCTGGGGCTCCTGGCAGCGCCGTCACGTGTTCGCTGAAGAGTATTTGTTCAGAAAAACTATGAATAATTTGAATGTAATCATACGCGGGGAAACACTAAAGATGCCTATCGTGACCCAGACGACTGAATCCATTTAAATTATCTTCACAGCACCTACTTAACACCTTGTAAATGATATCTAATGGCTACACCCCGGTGCAGGTTTTGCTCTTTGAAGGCTCCTGCTACATTTAATCAAATGATGGGACGTACTTTTTGAATAAATCAGCTCCAACGTTATTCCAACTCTTATTTGTTGCGGTACCCAGGATCGTATCTTCTTTTAAATTTATCTACGCAAAGAATCTAAACACCAGAGAGAGGTTTGATTAGCTGGGGCAGCTGCTGCTGAGTAGATGAGACAGTAGAGGGGTACTTTTTAGGACCCGATGTATTTGAGCTCTCCCCTGCATATGTACATGATGCTGCTGTACATTCACCTGTCTCAGTGGCTGATCCATATCTTATCTGTGTCCAGTCATTTGCAGCTCTTGCCTCTCCTATCTTTGCTCTAACCCCCTCCCAGCTGCAAATATGCAGCCAGAGTCAAACTCAAAATCAGTATTCATTCACAGCTTTACCTGGGAATCAAACTCCACTCTCTGGAGTGAGCAACTATTAACTCGGGCTCATTGCAATCACACTCTAATTTTCTCCGTAATAAATGAGTGTGGGGCAAACTGGGGACACAGCAAAATTATCAATGTTATTCTCTGGAGCTGGTGAGCAAGAGGAGGACTGGGGGTCCAGGTAAATACTCCTCAAGGTAAAAGAGCACCGCATGCAAAAATGTAATCACAAAGGCCAGAGACGGAAACAAAAGGATGCAAAGTTGTTCTTTTGTCCCGCTTTTACCACAAGAGAAAGCTTTATTGTTCTCTTTGTACTTCTCCCCTGACATCTGAATCATGCTCGCATTACAAAAAGACAGCTCACTCCCCAACACTGGGATCTGCGGGCCCAATTAATATTCAATGCAAATATTACTATCTGGTATCATAGCAACTAGGGCCACTGTGTGTCCACTGGTTGTGTAAAGCTGCTGGTGAGTTTTTGCAGGGAAAGAATAAGAGGGTTGAAGAGGGAAGAGACACATGCACACACAGCACAAAGTACGGCGTTTCTCTGAAAGCTTCGGCGTTTTCACTTTAATGCAGCCGCGTACGATTCCGTCAGAATGCACCATGAATGTGTGACTGAATTATGAGCTAATTAAAAGATTTGTGGTGTATGCACTATGCTTATCCGCCAGGCACGGTAATTAGAAGCGGTGCTCTGAGCGCTTGTGTGCTACCATTCATTATTTTGTTAAGCTGTCATTTTTAACCGTCAAGGCTGCTGTTTGGATTCAAGCTTATTCCAGCAAATGTGAAAATAGTCGAGTGCTCCGGTGGAAATGTCAGCGTTGTGCGGTGATATTGCTGCGGTTTGACTGCAAAAGAGGGAAGAATTTTCCAGCTCGAGGGGAGAACTTTGGAGATATCTCCCCGCCTAACAGGGTCTTAATGTCTTTGGCATATAAATTGAGTTTTCTGGTTTGGGATCAGCTTCAGACTGATGAATCAGATGGTATTTTTGATCAGCAGTTTTATCTGCTTCACAGCGCTGAGCTCGGATGAAACAGACTTTTTGTTCATGATTCCCTTTCAAAGACAAGACAGCCAATTCAACTTCATTTCATCTCGACGATGAACGAATACTTGTTTAGTCATACTGCAGTGCAGATTCGAACACCAGCTTAAGAGCCTGATCTGAATCTCAAATTAAATGCAAATGATCGTTTCCAACATTGTCAGCATCTGGCTAAAGAGTTCATTTAAACACACCACACTGACCCAACCGGCATTGTGTCTAAAATTAGTTTCTTTCTCTCCCCCCCTGTCAGTCTCAAGCTAATAGAGGGAGCAGCGAGGAAGACAAAAATGCAGCCTGCCTCCTGCTGAGCCTCAAACATTAATTCTATTTTCTAATTTACCACCTATTGTGTCTCTGAATGCATGCTTAGCTGTTCCTCTCTGCACAGATATGGGTATGGCAAATTTAATGTGCTGTGGTTATTTCAAGCAAATATAACGAGGTTGTGTCATCAATTTAGTTTTGCTTTTTTGTCCTTTAGGGTTGGTTTTTACTGTGCCTCGTGGCGACAGGACTTGTTTTTGAGGGCTGAGATAGATATGTACGACATATGTTCAAGTTTCTAAATGATTCACAACATGTAGGCCACAGTTTGCCGTCCATATGTGAGATCCTGGGAGTGTGAATGCCTCTCTGTCGTGACATATTTACACAAACCATAAGATGCTTCTAAATGTGTAATTGTGAATAGTATGTACGTGGGTGTGTGTATATGGCATAGCTTTACACTAAACTTTAACTGTATTGTGTTTCTTCACATTTTTCCACACAGGATTCCCTCCTAACTACCAACTGTTATGACAACTGGACCATAAACATCACTTTTTGTTTCATCCTGCTTCATTTCCCCAGGAGCCATCAATCACTCATTAAAACCCTGCACATAATCTTTTATAGGACCGACTCCTTAACGCACCACTGCCGTTATAATATCTCAGCAAATGTCCTCCCCCATGAATAATTGAAGGAAATTGAAGATTGAACTAGTGCCTGAGGCAGAACGGGCATTTGTTTTGATCTGCCAGGGTCTTTTTAAAATAGCTGCATTGGCAGGCTTTCCACTGCTACTGGCAAAGAGATATCAGCGGGGATGTTGAAGATGCCTCACAAGTTCTGCTACGAGCACACCATGAAAACACAACACAAGGTCAGGGAGGGTTATGTCGATCCTACGAGCTCATTAAAAACCACCGTACATTCTGTTTTTATGCCGTCTTTGGTCTCGCTGCGGTCAGATAGTCTTCACAATAATTTAGCTTCCTCATAATTTTTGTCCACATGTGATAGCAGCTGCCCTCGAGCACTCCTCCTCAGTGTTACTGGTCATTTTAACGTGCTATCAGATGGCCTTTAACATGAAGAGGCAGTTTCACAACATGCGTTCTCATTGCTCTTCCTTTATCAGGGAAAGGGAGATTCTTTCGCTTCCGTTTCCCGGCCTTACCTCTCCTGGGCATCAGCAAGCAGTCCCTGCCGCAGGAAGATCCCGATGCGGTAATGGTGGACTCCCCTCGCCACAGCGACGGCTCGGTGGCCACGCGTGACTATCAGCTCCCCACCACCCGCGAGAGCTGCAGTCCCTCCTATGCCAATGACACCCGTGCCCTCATTGGCCCCAGCCACTGCTCCACCCCCGTCTCCGGGCCTCTGGACCACTCGTCGCCAAAAGGCCCCTGGGACCGGATATACCCGGACCAGGCCGTTGCCCAGACCCAGCACCAGAGTCAGGAGGACACGCTCATTACAGCCCCGTCAATCCCGGGCCTCACTCCGACCGCCTCCAGAGAGAGCATGTGCAGTATTCGCAGAGCCTCCTCCGTGCATGACATGGAGGGCTTTGGGTCCAACTCCAAGATGGCATTCAGGGACCGGCATGCCAGTGAAGGTAAGAATCTGCTCTTCTGTAAGTTAACTTCCAGACAAAACACTGCACCAGTCAGTTTATGTCATGTTACCCACTCTAAGGTCAACGATGGTTTAGTTGTAGTTTTAAATTTCAGATCCTCTCCCCTAAAAAGTGTGTTATTGTTAAGTCACTGTGATGTTTGAGCTTCACCACGCAGAGGGATGGACATGCAACGTTTGTTCTCAGGATTTTGTGTTATCACAACTATTTTGAAACCCAATCACAGACCAACATACAGCAGCATGAGTGTGAAGGTCACATACACTAAGAATGGACTTCCTGGTGAAGTAGGAGACATGATAAACAGACTGGGATAAATAAAGTATTTTTCTATTCTTCTTCTTCTTCTATTCTATGATATGCACAAAACGTTTTCAGATGAACAAGACTTCTGGTATGTAGTGATGCAGAGGGATGTTTAGGGAAGATGTCCAATACAAGTCATAATTAATTAAAAAAAACAAAACATATATGTTCTAAACTATGTTAGGAGTCTGTCTTTTAAAACCTGATCTTTCCAGAGTTGGTGACGAACTGCTTTAACAAAGTCTCCATTTGCTCAGTGAAGTGAGTTAAAAATCTAGTCAATATCCAAATGATGCATTTGGCCATTACGGGCTGCACATTTATTATTCATGGAAAACCATGACTGTAATTTGGCTATATTAATTACCCAAACTGCTGTGGTCTCAGAGTAGGAGAGCTGTTGTGTTCCAGTCTCTTTATCAGTATTATACTTAGTCACAATCTCTATTGTGTGCTATTGATCTTCCCTGGAGTCTAAATCACTCATTAGCCTTTGGCCCTCATTTGGCTGAGGGTAGAAGTGCCCTAGACTGGCCTTGTTTCCTCCCGGCCAATCAGTCTACCCCGTCCCCTTATCTACAATTCTCATTCAAATAGCTCCCAGTGGCTGACACAGTAATATGTCTACTTCATTGTAATTTATTGTTCATGGGGACAGTGGCGGGGGTTTGATGCCAGCCCACATTTATCATCATAGAAGACCAGAAATTCTTCTCTCACCTCCACTCCCATTTTTCTCTCTCCTCCACTGCGTTGCTGCCATCGCAGACAATGGCCGCAATATAAAAGGTAACCAACAGCAGCCTGCTGCACCTTGAGCTCTTGGATGATACACGTGTACCCCACAAAGCCTGCTTGTTGCATGAGTTTCCTCCACGAGGGTCATGTTGAATGCAAATGCCTCGGTGGATGACTGACAGTGTGTTTGTAAGTTCCCGGGCCAGAACCTCGACAGACTGGCTCAGCACTAAATGAAGTAGTCGTGGTGTACATGACCCGCTGAACTCCAGTCAGTCACCCAGGAGAAGGCTCAGTAAAAAACAAAACAACAGCACACTGATCGCTGCACGCGCTTGCATGAAGCTACACATTAGCTTTCTCTCCTGCATGTTGCTCATTGAAGAAAAACCAGCGAAGCTTTACAAAATAATACCTCCCACTGTCTGTAACCTCTGCTTTCTTCTAGGCACCCTCTGGAGCCTTGTTGCCGTATCTTAATGAATGAAAAGAAACCTTACTGTGTTTCCATTCACAGTCTGGATGCTTGTCTTCCTCCTTTATTAAATGCAGTGGAACTGTAGCCATGGTCATGCTGCATGCATATTCACGTACCCTGACCTCCTCAGCACCTACAACGGTCACTGCGTGTGCATTATTTTATAAATGTGATCAGGAGTGTAACTTTTTCGGTGTTTGTTATGTTAGCGTCACAGTATGTCCTCCTCATACCTATAAAGCCTTCCTCACAGAGCTGCCACGGTGCTCTATTTACTGATAATGCCACGATGTTGATGTTGTTTGTACCCATGACAACTGACCCTACAATCCAACCGCCCTTCCATAATCCCACTTTCCCCTTTACCTCCTATTTCTTCTCTCTCCTGGTTTGCTAGTATCTCGCTCCTGGATGGCTGGGGGTATGGCTTCAGCTTTTTCTTTTAAGTTATTTTTTATGACTGCTATGATGTGTCCTGACCGTGGCATGTATTGAAGCTGCGCATGCAATCTCTCATCCTCAGCTGTCTGTTTCTCTGTCCTTGACTCTCAATCACCGTACTGTACTTTGTGAAAAGGGGGGAAAAACTGCGCAACCTTCGTCTGCAGCTGAATCAGCGGCTCTCTCTTTTTCACTTTTTATCACTCTCATCGGGTCACGTGTCCGTGTGCATCGTGCTGTCACATATTGTTGCAGTGTCGAATGCTTTCACAAGAAGTCAGGGAGCTAATATCTGCAAGTCAGTTGTTATTAAGCTGTAACTTGTAGAGAGCGTTGTGTGGTAGGACGTGGAGTCATCAGACAGATAGATGGTTTGACTAACTGTGTGAAGTTGCATTCTTTGATTGTGCATTGAATCATTCTTTTCTTTCACCAGCAGTGTTCTTCATTATCTTTTAATGAGAAACTTTGAAAGGCCTGTTCATCCTAGACGGGTCAATCAGAGGGTGTAGAGTTTGTATTTCAGTATCTGTTGTATTCTCGGTGTTGTGTTGTGGTTAAACTCACTCCAAAAGTAAGGATCACTCCATGCTCACTACCCATGTCACAACAATCACAAATGAGCACTAGACTGTTCTCTGATGTCCACCACTCACCAACGCCCATTGGATTAACAATAGTCTAACTTTAGAACAAGATTTGTCAACTTCTGATGGTGACATCCTCCCTCTGTCGCTCTCTCTCTTTCAGGGCCGCTCAGTCAGATCAAGTCCAGCCTGCTCGGCTCCACCTCTGACTCCAACCTCAACAAGTACAGCACCATCAACAAGATTCCCCTCATCACACTGAACTTCTCTGAAGCCAACAACGAGAAGAAGTGCCCCTCCCCTCCATCCTCTGAGAAGACCATCATCGCCCCGAAAGTCAAAGACCGCACACACAACGTCACGGATAAGGTCACACAGGTAAGACCAGGAAAACAGCCTATTTTAACCCCTAACATACTGGTCATGTTGATGCCTTCACAGGATGGTCCGGGTCAAAACTGAGCCATACTGTCAAGAATTCCCTCGTAGTAAGCGTCTATAACAAATTTTAAACTACAGATCTATTTAGAATGTTGACGTCACATTAATAAATGTAAATAAACTGTACAGTTTCACAGTTTCCAGATTCCCTAAAACCCAACAGTAGGATGATTGTCAGAGCTGTTTAAGATCCATCAAGTATTCATTGGTACAGTCTTTGTCATGACTGTTATGTTGCCTGCATCTAACAATTGAAAACAATTAAGGGCAGTAAAAGGACTCAAACTTAGCAGTGGACGCTCAGTTTGCATTTATTAATAATTTATCCTACCAATCGTTTGTTGACAGTCTGATGTTTTGCAGGCTGGACTGGAGAGACATTCAGTCGTAATGCTCGTCTTCTCACCATTTACTAGCACAGCTCAGACCTGCACAGATTGAGCGGTGGATGAAGTCAGCAGATTGCATCCACACCCCCACCTGCCCTCTGTGAGCCTCAGGATGATTAATTGAAACTCAAGGGGTCTGATACGTAAAACGGCAGAGGTGTCTATCGCTAGTGGTGAATAATCAGGGATACTCTTACAGCTGCCAGACAGCTTCCAGAGCTCCAGCCGTATTTCTAGTGTTACGGACGGGGTAAGAGGTCGTTCTCACCTTCCCTGCCGGGGCTGAGAGGCAGCGTAGAGTATGCAGGCACTGTAAGCTAATGTATTCCCAGAGGTTGGAGGGATCTGCCCCAGACCAGTCATTAGGTCTCAGGTTTGCATTTTGCCTATGAACAGTGTAACAGGTAGAGGGCACAGGAGTTGACCTCTGTTTGTGGTCAAAGGCGACTTCAGCTAAAGGCATCGGAGCCAGAGGCAGAGAGCTCATCACGCTGACCTCTCCATCCCACATTAAAGCAGAGAGGCGGCCTGATGTGGCTTCAGCGGTCTTTGGTATACTGGAGGACCTGAAACCAGTTCCTGTGTGACTCCTGCTTTGTTTGGGGGGAAATGAATATTAGCACATTGGTCAAAGCTCCAGCATGTTGCTAATGTCCTCGCTTTGATTCCCTCCCACTTCCACGCTGACTTATAGGGGCCATTAATATGCTGTTTAATATGTTGTCACAGAGTAATCGCCTCCTTCCTTGTGTTAACAACTAATGCCTGTGACAAATACGTGTTGCCGTGGACACGCTGGTAGCTGTACCAATATACCCCCACCCCTCTTCTCTCCTGCTCGTTCTGTGACTGAGCACATGGCGTTCAACACTCTGCCATTCCTGCTGTGAAGCATTAAAATAATCATAGCGGCAAACAGATAAATAAGCCATGGGAAGCTGTGCTGTATTCCCATCTTGTACAGTTTCCCAACTGTCCTCTAGATACCTGACTGTGAAAAACACAAAGCACCAGCAGATGTCTTGAAACCAACGAGGAACTTGTCCGATTTGATCTGACGCCACGACCAAGGCGTCTGAACAGACACGCTCTCTGCTGGCCTTGGCCGCCTCACAGCTACCACGGGCAGATGGAGGCTTCGTCCAGGAAGCTGGTCAAGTAATAAAGAAAGCACACTTGCTGCTCACATGCTGTTTCTCACATTTTAAACGTCTCAGTGCACGTGGCTCACGTCCACACGGGTCTCAGATGCCCGCTACTTTCCAGTGATGTCTCAATGTAAACTAGTTTGGGTTGTCTGAAGCTGAATGTGGAAGCAAACCAGTAACGATGATTATTGACAGGAACATTAAACAGCACTCCTATGAATAATACCCAGTCCTGACATTACAGACCAAACAGAACCAGAGGAAGGGAGAAAGCTCATTTGCATATCGTTTGAAGCCAAGCCAAACACAGAACGAGCTTTCCATTATCCCGCAAGAGAGAGTTCATTTGCACATAGCTACAGTAGGTAGGTTAAATAATTAAGATGAGATCTTTTATTTAGAAACAGATTGGCTACAACACGCTAATCTAGAGCTGTCATTCTGCCAACCAACGGACTCCTCCCAGGCTTCCTAGCAGGCTGAAGGGTAATGGATCCATGCAGGCTGAGAGCTGCTGGTGCAGTGCAGAGTTACCACATTGTTTGTATCGAGGGCGGAGGTTTGGTCCCGACATAAGTGGGGACACAACGACATGCACATAGAGAATAGACGACAGCCGCCGCCGTGACCCAAAGGTTGGTTCAAGGAAACAGAAAACAGGGAAGTTAAAGGAGCTTGTTTATACATTATTGATCATGATTTAATGCTGAAAATAAATTCTCAGTGAATAGTTATTTGAGTGATAGGAGGCAAATGATGCAGATGTTTAATGTGTAAAATATGCAGCGCCTTAAGGAAGATGTCTTGGGTAACAAGTTATCATGGAGACAATACAGACTGAAGAGAACAAACATTTACGATGTGGACAAACTGTCAACTAAAGCTTTGGGTTTGTCTTTATTGGGCTCAGCTGTTTCCTCCAATACCATCAGGTACAATACAAGAAAACTGCAGCTGTTCCAGAATACAGATGTAACCCGAATTAATGAACGTCTTTCTTGGTTTGTAGTGGGAAATAGATTGCTGTATTACCTGACAGTTTTCATTAGGATTGTCACAATCGCAAAGACTTACTTGAACAGAGAATTATTCAACAAAGCTAGAGGTTGTTTCACTCAAATCCAGACTGGAACAAATCAGTTCAATGCACATTAATACACACAGAAACAGAAGAACAGATTTCACTCCTAAATCATTTTAAACAACAAAATATCAGATATGTTTTGCTCCATCTGCATTCCAGGGTAAGTGATGACATTTATTTGACTTCATAGGGACAATTCTGTCTTCCCAAAACTGACACCGTCCTCCCACTTATATGGAAACCTTCATCCTCTTTCATTCATGAACTGCATGATAGCAGAACAGTGTCTGTGCAAACACTAGTCTCAAACACAGATAAGGATATGGTCAGCTTTTTCATATCTTTGTTCCTCTTCCTTGCCTATTTCTAACAGAAATCAATTTAAGTCAACAGGAATGAAGCACTGTTCGGCGAGTATCAGCAGCAATTACACACTGGATCGGGACCATAACAAAACAAGCATTCGAAACACCCACTTTAATGAAGTGGCAGCTTGATGAATAATAGAACGTATTCCCTTTTGTCTGTCCTTTGGTGTCTGATCGATTTCAAAGGTTATCCCATATCAGAGGGGAAAAGCATTTGACCCTCCCCATCGCACAGAGAGAAGGAGTTTCTAATAAACAATTCAATTATTAACCCTTCGGCCTTTTTGTGCTATACATCATCCTTCTGTTCTCCGGTCCTCCGCTCTCAATCACAGGGGCTATAAAGGTGAGCGGGGCAGAGATAAGGGTTAGGGTTTCATTCTCTGGCTCACTCACTTGCAGTAATTGTCTCTCTCCCCTTGCAGCCCGTTTACTTTGCCTTCCTCTCTGTCTTTGCATTCCTTCTCGGAGCTTCCTCAGTGAAAGAACCACATCCTATTGAACACTTAGAATAGTAGATGTATCCTCTGCCTACACCTATAATTACCTCCAAGTCATTGAGACTCTTGTCCGAAATGGTCCATGACGCTGATGTAATATTGATGCTAAAAGCTATGAGGGCACGCTGCATATAGTAACTGCAATAACAGAGATAATGATAGTGACATGCAGGCTCACTGGAATGGATTATAGCCTAATCCTTCATGCAGTTCTTTCATCTTTCATGCATTGCTGGGTTTTTGTTTTTTTTAGTTCATTTTCTCTGTTCTGATGTTAACGTATGCACAGCTTTCCAGGTGTTTCTCCCTCACGATAAGAGGTTTCACTTCCAAAACAGCAGATACAATCTTAACACCTTCTCATGCTTATTGCAGTAAAGCAGCCTGCTCCTCTAAGAATTACACTAGAAGCATGTTTTTATCCTTTATTTAACACATTCACTAAATGATTTATGTGTGGGGAAGTTACACCTCAAGTACTCTGCTCATGCAAGAATTTGTTTTTGTTGTCAGATAGTGTTGAACTGCATTAGGATTGTACACCACTGCATTTGACCTGTACTCGACCTAATCTTCATGTGTGTGCACAAACATGCTAATACATACTGATATATATAAAAATGTAACCTATTTTCTTGAACCATGGGGCATAATTAAGATTCTTCTTCTCATAATCCTTCTCGTTTTATGGAAAAGTATTGCACAGTGGAGAATTTTAGTACAGTTTTTTTTCTAACAAACCTGACATTAAAGGCTAGCGAGGAGATTTACACCTTCACAAAGTTGGAGAACTTGTGAAATCAAAGCAGCAGATGATTCCCAAAATGCTCATCCTAGATTTCCCATTTCTCACCACCATCTTTTCTTACACCTTCCCTTCTTCCTAAGCGGCCAAATCTTTTAAACTTCGCACCTCTCGTTTGTAACACACACCCCCACATGCACAAAAAACCATCCGTGGAGTGGCCCTTCCAACAAGACCGTAGAGAATCTGCAGAAAGCAGCACGGAGCGAAATGAATCCTCCACTTTGTTAAAGCTGATCAGTCCTCTGTGTTCCTCTCCAGGTTCTTTCTCTGGGTGCAGACGTGCTGCCTGAGTACAAGCTCCAGACGCCACGTATAGATAAGTTTACAATCCTTCACTACAGCCCCTTCAAAGCGGTGTGGGACTGGCTGATCCTGCTGCTGGTCATCTACACGGCCATCTTCACCCCCTACTCTGCTGCCTTCCTCCTCAACGACATCGAGGAGCAGAGGAGGCGGGAGTGCGGCTACTCCTGCTCGCCGCTCAACGTGGTGGATCTGATCGTGGACATCATGTTCATTGTGGACATCCTCATCAACTTCAGGACCACTTACGTGAACATCAACGAGGAGGTGGTGAGCCACCCGGCCAAGATCGCCATCCACTACTTTAAAGGCTGGTTCCTCATAGACATGGTGGCCGCCATTCCATTCGACCTGCTCATCTTTGGCTCAGGATCTGACGAGGTGAGACTTAATTAGTTTGTCAGTCCGTACTGGGGGTAGTGACGCTGATTTAAAAGTTGTCTGTTAGAATCTCAATCAACAAACTTGTTATCATGTTCATCATGTTGGATTTGAAACAACAGTGCCTCCTAAAAATACTTTCATTTACATCTCAACTGATTTCTCATTTTAAAAGAAACGTCCAGTTTGAAGGAGCTAAAAAGCTCCTTCCCCAAGAACACTGGGCTTCACATCCCATGTGGGACCACTATTCTTAAACTTGAGCTTTGTTCACTTGCCATTTGCTTAGATTGAGGCACAGAACTGCATGATCAGTTTTACAACAAGCCAAAGCCTTTTTCCTTCTTGTCAGTGTCAGTGTTAGTTTCATTCCCCTAAAACAACTTTCTGAGAAGCTAATTTGCAGAGAGCAATCCTCTTCACAGGTCCTGTGAACATTGCAAAGCTGCAGAGAATTGGTTGCGCCTGTGTTGTGACACGAGACCTCCAGCAGTCATGTTTCTGAGCTGTTTTCTCAAACGCTTACACTCCTAAACCGATCTGACGCTCGGCTGTCACATCTGCTTCCCTCCGCTTTCTCTTCACCAGAGCCAGACTGGAAGGCCCGGGGCGGTCCATATGAGTTAAAAAGGTCTCAGCCCGGGACAAACCGGGAGACGATCAGAGAGCAGTTTGGAGGAAGCATTGTCTTAAATATACAACGAGTATCTGAACAGAGCGTTTTTATGTCACTGGCTCAGACCCTGTTTAGGATTTACAGAAATAAAAATAAATAAATCAGGATTTTTTTCACATCTCTTGCTACTTTAGGACCTCGAGAATTAAACAAGTTAAATGCTGCTGGCTTTTGCATTTCCTAACAAAGATCGCGTCCTAAACTGAGTGGCTGTAGCATTTGCTGGCAAACAGCGTGTAGTTGGATGAGTGGAGGTTCAGGTCTGTGATGTTTTGTTCTTCGGACTCTGAAGGTGCCAAACTGGCCGAGGCTTCCCGTCAGAGTGGAAGCTTGTAACTTACAGTGTTTACATGATTGTTAAACACGGCCTCTTTTTCCTCAACCTGCTTTCCTCAGCAGCACAGGACGGCTTCTGTTTCTGGTTGCAACTGTTGGCTGAGAGTGAGCATGCCAATCACATCTGTGTGTGGGTGGAGGCCTGAGCAGCGATAGAAACTGACAGCGATTGTTAGTTTTCTTCTTTTGTTTAGTTTTTTTAACAAAGTAACCTTGGACATATGAGAAACCCAATTTATCAAACGCATTGAAATGAAGGAAATGAGGTGTGTTGGGAAGTCATGACACTGACTCGTTGTTCGATTTGAATAGTTGTTGTACTTCCATTGTTCATTTCACTCATGTCCAAATGTGGTTGGATGCAGACATCCAGCGTCTTTCATTTTCAAATCACAGCAGAGCCGAGAGTTTCCGAAAATGTGTGAAAATGCCAGACGCCAGGATACGGGATGAAACTCGACGTTCCAAAACACTCACAAAAGCGAGGGCCTGATGTCAGGCTGTTGGTTTGCCGAGTCATTATTTACACAAAAGTGAGGGCCTGATGTCAGGTTGTTGGTTTGCCGAGTCATTATTTACCATTAGGTGTGTGTTTCTGGGAGGGAGTCCATGGCTGGAGGCCGGCGGTGAGTGACAGGTGGAGAAAAAAGAGCAGACAGCTGAGCGACGCGGCGGCACCATGTACGTTCTCGACATGCAGCCAGATGACTAGCGCGGTGACAGAATGTGTGTTCCCGTTACAAAGCACATGGTGTCAGGATGAGTAGAATGACAAAATGCTGTATTTTTAGCTCCTCCAATCACCGGCAGAAACTGAAAATAACACATCCATGTACAGTTTTAGCTCCTGTCTTTAAGGTGTGTTATTTTAGCTTTCTGTACAGAGACAGGGACTATTTTTAGACCTGATCTCGTGCACCTTTGTTGCCTGGAAACCGACAATATGTTAAATTCTTCTCTCTCTTTTTTGCTGATTTCGTTAGGAATGTGGCAGATTGAAGTCTCCTGTGAGAGATTCTCTCTGGGTTTGCAGCCGGTGTAGGACTTGTGCAGTGCAGGCTGGCAAATCCGGTGGTGCTGAATTTACCTACAGAAGTCATTTGAACTCCTTCCTCATTTTCATATCAATGCCTTGTTGTGAAAAGATGAGATTATTTGCATATTATGTTCGCATTCACATGTGTTCACATTTGGGGTAATTGCAAATTTTGGAGGTTGGCTGTGAAAATGAAGCCTGAGCCAGAATTTAAATGTTGTTGTTCTTTATATTCTGGCCGGGCTACAGTGACCTCTAAACTACGCCGACACTTTTTCTCAGAACGTTACGGGGCGTATGTGGTTTTACTTTAATATGAGGAGGGTTTTTAAGTGCTCACCGGAGAAATCTCGTCTAGTGCTCAGCTAGAAATTGCTCTTCCACAGTGTGAGGCTATTATTTATTGTCAGTGAAGCAGTTCCACAATGTTGATCATGTCAACATGATTATCGATCGAGTCTTGTCCTTGGAGAAAGCTGTTTATTCTCACAAATTGTCTTTTTCTTTAATGGGAGATGTTTTGATTTTCTTTCCCCAAAATGTGAACCTGGCATGTTTAATTAGTTGTTTCTCCCCTTCACAGTCTGTTTTTTGGTCTGCATTGTGTTGCCTTATACACAAATGCACTCCAACTCTATTATGCTGCAGAACCTGCGATGGCGGCTGTGCTAAACAAAGAAGAAAGAGGAGGCAGCTCCATTGTAACAGGCAGCCCCCTCAATCTCACTTTTGCCTGGCGGTATTGTGCGCGCAGTCAGAATAGACGCCGATTTGTGTTTTAAATCCTCGTGCAGCTATTTACTCAGACAGTAATACAGTTGTGAATAATATGTTTGTTCTCTTCTCAGATTAGATGAAGAAGAGAAGCAGTGGGCTGGCTGTTGGCCTGCTCCGTGACAAGCGCAGCATTCACAGGGAATGTGTCCACTTTGTAATTCTGACAGCGCACAAGCTGCAAGAGATATTAATGTGGTTAAATCCCTACTGTTAAAATGAAAAGGGATTACACGGTAACATGTTTCCTTAAAGGTGTAGTGACAGTTCCACAGAGAGCTATCACCAACTCAGCAACACCGACTCAACAACCAACTGTTGTTTTGCTCAAAGAATCGACAAGAAGAACAACATCCTCCTGCAGTCCGTTCACCCATACGGTTCATGACTAGCTGCTGAGCATTGTCAAGCATCGGGCCACCGCTCGCAAGCTGCTTTCTAATTAGACAAAAGTTAGACTGAAGTACTTTCATTTTCTAAATATCTGACAGCACGTTGTGTCCAGGTGCACAGATTCAGAATGTTATATCACAACCTTGGTGGACTCTTGGTGTTTTAAAGCGGCCAAGTGAGCCTGCAAAGCCGCGGTGGCAGATGGCCAGAGGGATATTTGGCGGATATGTTTTATACAGCTGGTTGCTAATGGGAGCTTTCGCTTCACGCCTCAGCCCCAAACGCCTCAGACTTACTGTAAGCCCAGATTTTAATCAACATTACACTGTGTGGGTCGCAGCGTACAGCGTGTGCCGTGTCATCTGTGCAGGTCACTCAGAGTCAGCAGCATTACACCTCAGGCAGTGCACGCTCACAGACGACAGTCGCCTGATAATTTAGGGCTCATCTGTTTCTATGTTTGATTCATTCACTGTTCCCTGTGTTGTCAGTGACAGTCGGCGCTGGCCAGATGCACCGCAGTGAATAATGGTGGTGATTTAGGGGTGAGATTGGGAGGACGGAGGCTCTTTAATGGACCCATCAGAAGCAGCTACTGCACTTCTCCTCACCGCGACGGAGACACGCTCGCCGCCATGAATCATTCGCCTTCAAAAACACACACAGCCCCCTTTTCGCTTTTAGTACTCTAAATAATCCATGTCATATTTACTCTCACCTGTACAGGAGGTGTAAATAAGCAGGCGGCGGCGTGAGGAAGCACAATTACTGCAGGAGGCTGTGGGTAATCATTTCCCAAAGGATATTAGGATAATTGTCAGGCGTGATAGGGAGTGGTAGGACCTATTAGCATTCTCTCCTATTGTGTCCACAGATTGTGCGACACTAATAGATCGGGACTTGTGTCATGGCTCTATGTGTGTTTAGAAAATAGAGAGGATGGATTAATGTGCTTTGAATCAAACCGAGCAGGAGGCAGTTTGTGTACAATGTATGCACGCAAGTCTGTGTTCGATCAGCGTGTGTTTGTGTGGGGCTGTTTTAAATAGTGATCTCCAAGGATTTGATGACGGTTCCAAGCTGTTAATATTTAGCTGTTAATTCATATGCAATTATTAAAAAGTACTTCATCATCGGCAAACAGATGACACACATCCCATCTCCTTCTATTGTCTTTAGTCAATTCAGTTAAAAGACAATCCGTACTGACTTCATACTGAGGGAAACCTTAAAAGATCTCTTTACAGCAACAGAAATAATCCAGGAATTATCCATTGTCTGTCTCGTGTACGTGGAGTGTGAATAAGATTAAGTATTCTTAAGCCATCGTGACCCGACCGCAACCTCTGACACCGAGAGAAAACAAACAACTTGTTCACTTTGATCGCTTGAAAAAGGTCGCTGGTGTCTCGTATTGACTTGAACCTGGATGTTATTTTTAAATTTCTGCATTTCTCGGTGGTGGTGGCTGTTCAGTACTTTCTAAATAAAGCTCTCATGTTGTCCTGCACATGTTGAACCAATTCTGGACAAATATGTGACATAAAATCCAGCCAATCAAAGGAAGCAGCAAATAGCAAAGATGCCCCAAAGTGCAGTGACTGGCTGCCGATCCACAAGGGTGGAGCCTCAAAAAGCCTCAGGGACAACACTGTACGCTTTTATTAAACATAGACAGTTTCAAGTGACTAACTGAGTCCTTTCCTTGGTTCCTAGACCACCACTCTGATCGGCCTGCTGAAGACAGCCCGTCTCCTACGGCTGGTGAGAGTCGCCCGTAAGCTGGACCGCTACTCAGAGTACGGTGCTGCCGTCCTGATCCTGCTCATGTGCATCTTTGCGCTCATCGCACATTGGCTGGCCTGCATCTGGTACGCCATTGGTAACGTGGAGAGGCCTTACCTGGACCACAAGATCGGCTGGCTGGACAACCTGGGGGTGTCAATAGGTAGCGCTGTCTTCTGGTGTTGCTTTGGAGGCCATGCATCAAGGTTGGAAAATGATTTTTTAAAAATTAAACCATGTTTATTGTCCGTTTTGTCTTTTATTAAAGGAAAAAAGTACAACTACACTGACCCGAGCTCAGGTCCGTCCATCAAAGATAAGTACGTCACAGCGCTGTACTTCACCTTCAGCAGTCTGACCAGCGTGGGCTTCGGGAACGTCTCCCCCAACACCAACTCTGAGAAGATCTTCTCCATCTGTGTCATGCTCATCGGATGTGAGTGAGAGGCTGGAGCCCTCCGTCATCAGGGTTGCATGAGAAAAGAACAGATATTTACAGAACAGCTCCTTTAGAAGTCCACACTGACATTCACTCAGCAGCTACACATGATCTTTTTCGAGTAAAGATCCACACAAGTATTAATGTCACCTCCTGATATCGTATAGTTGCAATACAACAGGTTCCCACTGCATGAAAGTTTTCACACATGGGTGCATTTCTGGCAGCAGCAGCAGCAGGTTTGAGGTATGTATTGTGTTGTGTATGAGCACGCTCACCCGCCTCTACTCAACGGTCACCTCTGTGGCTTCTCTCCCAGCTCTAATGTACGCCAGCATCTTTGGGAATGTGTCTGCCATCATCCAGAGGTTGTATTCAGGTACAGCCAGGTATCACCTCCAGATGCTACGGGTCAAAGAATTCATTCGCTTCCACCAGATCCCCAACCCGCTGAGGCAGAGGCTGGAGGAGTACTTCCAACATGCCTGGACGTACACCAACGGCATCGACATGAACATGGTACGAGCAGGAGCGTGTGTGCCAGTGTGTGTTTCCTGTAGGTGGACGGTGTGATGGTGGTTTAATTACAGTTATAATAAATGAAGTTTGTTGTGCTTTCTTCAGTTGCTTCTTCTCTCCTTCCCAGTTTCATTTGAGTGGGTTTGATGTTTTGAACACCATTTCTGCTGACTTCCAACTCTCCTGTCCTGAAATGCTCTCACCACATCCACATGAAGCAATCTCACTATGTCCTTGGCATAGTATAATGTTTTCATCACGATTATACTGTGCAGTGTTCAGCCATAGCCACAAGTGAAATGAAAGCCACAGTTACTGTGTATGCATACAGTAAGTCTGGCTTTTCTCATCATGATACTGCTCATGGTACTTATATAAGTTTGTCTTTTCCATGTCTGCCTCATGTCAAATGGAATGACCGCACCACTCTGGTAAGAGCAGGAGGTACATGTGCTAACACAACTAATGTTTATATGAGTGTTCCTCAGTGGTAGAGCTTCATCTAGCCGTGTCTGACACTAGTAGTGGAATGCTTTCATTTATTTATGGACAGAAAACGAGTGTATTCTATTAAGCTAAGGTTTTAATGTATTTCATTGTTGTCCCAAACATGCATGTTATCAGAGGGCATAGTCCCTCCGTGTTTTATCTGTCACACAGCGTATTGTACATACATGAACACACAACTATACTGTACATAGTTGCTGTGATGCCACATCTACCGTTTGTACCTACGCATGCCGTACTGAGGGAGACACACAACACTGTGCTCCTCGCGGGTCCCAGTAAACGTCTATCACTGGTAGACTTGCATGTGGCCTGCCTTGAAGTCCCTTTGCATGAAATCTGTGTATTCAAACACAACCCCATGATATTCATCTGGTACCAGAGACAGAGTGAATCATGCCTGTGAGAGTGGGCACAGCCTCGGCGGGCACTGCCAGGTTTCCCTCCCACTGTGGGAGGCTTGGCCAGGCGCTCCGCTGTGGCACCTGCGCTTGCCAAATGTTGTTCAGTCTTTCCTTTCCAAATCTACCGATCAGTTTTTGTTACGAGCAACAAAAAAGCCTGTCAGAGCCAGAAACCCAGTTCAGGCAACATTTCTTTTGCTCTGCTCGTGTCATTAGCACATCGTAGTTTATGTGTAAATGACAAAGACAAGAAATGTGTTTTCGTGTTGCAACTGTCCCCTTGGTGTCCTTGAAGCTCTCCTCCTCACCTCCCAATGTCTAAAACTGTCGTCCTTATTTGCAGTCAGTTCAAGTTGTCCGCGGATCATTAGTTGTTGTTGTCAGTGGTCAATGTATTTTTGTCTTTAAAGGGTAAGTCTGTTTTTGTGCTTTAAAAGTTGATAGAAATGTTAAATCTAATGTTAAAATGACTTCTTAACTTTTTAACAGTCTCCAAGGCTAACTTACTCCAATGGGTAGGACTTTACTGATCATGGTTTTTCATATTCTTATTTCATGCAGATTATGGGTCAAATTATTGAGAAATAATTCAGCAGATATTCTTTGAGACAAGTTTAAATAGTGTTTCTGGTTTTTGGTCTTGCATATACTAGATTAGTTTCATTACTTCCGTACGTAGAGGCTTACTTAAATGAATTAAGGTCTAAATACTGAACCTGTGTTCTGAGTGTGTGCTGTTGCTTATCTGCAGTTTCTTAGTCTCTAAATGTTCTGTCCTGTCTTTCATCTTAAGCTGCTCAAAGGCTCACAAACCAATAAATTGCTCCTCTGTGTAAAGACATTGCAGGCTATTTCTACTGCAGGATATAATAGGTTTTGAGAAGAAGGAAAGAACACAAGTGGCAATTGTATCAAATTTCTCTGGAAATCCAGTCGATTTGACCCGCGATTCACCCCAAACCAAAACTGAATACACATTAAAAACCACAGCTTATGAAACAACATCAAAAGAACAAAGCCTCCACATTGCATCTAACCGTACTCATGCTTCCACCCGTCTTTTACACTCAGGTCCTGAAGGGTTTCCCCGAGTGCCTGCAGGCAGATATCTGCCTCCACCTCAACAAGAACCTTCTGCAGGGCTGTAAGGCATTCCGCGGAGCCACCAAAGGCTGCCTCCGGGCCCTGGCCATGAGGTTCAAGACCACCCATGCACCCCCTGGAGACACACTGGTCCACAGCGGAGACGTGCTCACGGCACTCTACTTCGTCTCCCGCGGCTCCATCGAAATCCTCAAAGATGACATCGTGGTGGCCATCCTGGGTGGGTCTCCTGCACAAGAGCATTTGGTAGTAGAGGTGGAATGACATCAGCATGAAACTGTTTGTTGACTGATCCACACTGACAGATTTTTAAAAAACAACATTTGTAGAGGCATCAGGAAAGCTTGTCTCCTCCTACACAGATCTGGCAGAAACACGTCGTGTCCTTTCAAGTGTTTTTGGGTTCTATATGGGGACCAGACTTCCTAAAGTCCTCCTTTTGGCCTTCACATTAGATCCCACAAACTTCCATGAACTGATCAACTATAAGATAGAAAACTCCCTATCTTCCAGGACACATAGACATTTGAAAAGTCATCCATTAGTTCTCCTAACTCGAGGCCGTCAGGTCTTAGGATGCTGAGTGTGACATAAAAGACGCTGTGTTTAAGCAGCATGTGCCCACTCACAAAGTGGAACTGTGGTGACACTGATACAGCTTTCAGGTATGCAAAATGTCTAAATGTTCCTAATTAGCCCAGTGAATTCTGTTAATGAGCCAGCTCAAAAACACTTCAAAAGATCCGCAGAGGAGCATGACTGATACTTCTGTCATTCCAGCCCAGTTAGCTGTGCCTCAACTCCCCTCCATTAGCGTAGACGCTGGTGGGCCAACTAAATGAAGATGGCTCTGTTCTGCTGTGATACGGCCGGTTTGGCAGCAGAGATCCCTGTTGGGTGTGTTGTATTAACTTACTTCAAAGAACATTGTGATCGCTGCCGCCTTACAATCGTGCCCAAGATGAAGGGAGAGGACAGAAAAGACCGGGGGAGGACACATGGTGGGATGAAGGTAACGGAGGATATGTGCTGATGGGAGAACGAAAGCATGATTGCTTTCAAATAGAGATGGATGACAATGGAAGCAGGGAGTGATGGAGAGCTGAGCGAGTGGGCAGGGTAGAAAGAAGAGACAAACAACGGGAGAGAACCAACGGGAAAGTAAAAGGAAGGAGGCAGGTTGAGGAATTCAGGGAGAGAAGTGAAGTGACAGAGGAAGAAAAGAAGGTAGTGAGAATGCCGTGTGGTTGTCAGTGTGGCGTGAGGCGGTGCTTGATGATGGATAGAGGTACCGACAGCTTCCATATGCAGTCACAGTAAATCCTTCTGTCCAACCCCAGCAGCCGGCTGCTGTATCCTACCGAGCCTTTGTCTTTTAATGACCACTTCCATGCAGCCAATCAGGGCTGGCGGATGCTGATGACACTGCAGGGTCATAATGAGCAAGAGCCGTGGACAAGGAAGCTGTAGGTTACGCACAATATCTGCAAGAAAACTGCTGATTCCTCCATTTTCATGCCATACATCATGAATGTGTTGGAGCTTACAGCACCGATACGATCGAAACGTAAAGCTGGATATAATGAACACGGCAAAGCTACACACACAGCAGCATGTACATTAGAAGTTATTACTCAAGTCAACGTAAATATTTAATTATGTGTACTATATAGATGAGCTACAGATGGGCTGTGTAATTGAAGAAATGACTGAAACTGTTTTAAAAGCTTAGTTTTATTTGATAGCCTTATTTCACGTGACATTTTTAAAAAGTGTGTTCACATTTATCCCTGTACTTTTTTTGTAATGTCACTATTTATTTGATAATTTCACCTTTCAAAACAACGATGTTACACACATGTTGCACACTTTAGTGATTATTTATTAGTTACTTACTGATTTAATATTGGGCCCCTTCAAACAGACAGTCCACTACAGCGAGCGCTCAACCCTGTGGCCATCCCATGTAGGTCATTACTCACTAAACAGACACAGAATTGTTTGGCCTGCGTGACTTCATGCGTAAATCCCTTTTTTAGATGACTGTGATGCCCTTCAGCCTCTTTAACATTCTCACGCTTCTCTGCCAGGTGGCCTGTCTCTTTATAGGTCACCATATACAGCGCCGCATACTGTCCAGCTGTATGGAGCTCAATGCAAACTCCACATTTCCATGGACTTAAAATGCCCCTTGTTTGGACTGAAAAGGCTCAGCTGCTTGTATTTGATTGGCATTGTTTGTTCTCCAGGCAAGAATGACATCTTCGGTGAGATGATCCATCTGTTCACCAAGCCAGGGAAGTCCTGTGCAGACGTGCGGGCGCTGAGCTACTGCGACCTGCACACCATCCAGAGGGAGGAGATCCTGGAGGTGCTGGACATGTACCCAGAGTTCGCCGACCATTTCCTCACCAACCTGGAGTTAACCTTTGACCTCCGTGATGAAAATGCAAAGGTAATTATTATTTTATCTTGTTATTCCTGCCTTTAAACGTAATGGTCTGGGATGTAGCACAGAAATGGATAGAAGGAAATCAATCTTACTTGTTCTGCTTTACTGTACAGCGAGAAAGCTTCTTGTGGAGCCCATTAACTTGAATTAAAGAGTCTTTTCCTTGTAGCATGTCTCTGCCATGTCCATTTAAATTGAACAAATCACTTTTTTTATTAATTCATTTTAGTGCTTCGGTTCATCCATGGTTGGAGAAATAAAAGAATGATAGTTAATTTAGACTTTTTTTCTTTAATCTGCCATTTACTGGAAGACAAGAGTGAGAGATAGAGTGTATTAATCAAGCTCTAAGGGTGGATGTTACAGACAGAGGACACGATGTAGCCTGTAATTATGACGAACCGAGTGCAAGAGCGGCTTTATGTGAACTTAAATCCACATTAGTCGCTTGTGTTATTTATCTTTTTAAAAAGGAGAGCTGTGAGTGCACTTTGCGTTGGCCTTTTGTTACTTATTCAGAGAAAGAAGAGAGGGATGCAGAGGGAAAGAGACACACGAGAAGGTTCTGGTAGAATTACAGGAAAACCAGCGAACATGGTGCTCAGACAAGACAGGAAGGAGTTTCTGTTGTTTAGTTAAGGAAGGCTCAGTTCTAGTCCAGCTCCAAGGTAAAAGGATGCCATTTCCACTTTGTGTGCTGGCTGTTTTCACGATGCCCATCCCTGCAGAAAACAAAGAGAACCTCAGAGCAGCAACCTGTGCAAGGATTTAGATTGGTTCCTTCAGTGAATTAGCCGTTTTTATGACAGCGCTCGCCTCCCTCTGTATAAATGCTGCACCCAAACACTTCCCACATCACTGCTTTGCAGGGCACAGTTGCTGCATCCTGGGCTTAGCACCGCCCAACATAGCTGTGATTGGTTTAATGAAACACATGAAGCTTTTTTTTCTCAATGATACTGAGGTTCAGCCAGACTGTCTGTAGGGCGGACAGCGCTGTGGAGGTTGGTCTGGCTGCGTGAGACAACGTGCTCTAGGACATATTAACTCGTGTATTTGCATGATTTAAATCTAGAGCAGTCCAGGTGAGCGGCTCAATCACCCTATGTGCATTAATATGTGTCCTTTGTCCATTCACAGACGACTCACTCACAAGGAACTGATTCTAACGTGGATGACATCAAGTGTCGAAGACGGGTGTCATACCGGAGAAAGTCCTCCGCAGGTCAGCTTGATGCAGCATCACTTGTGTTGAAGTGGTTTTTAATTAGAAGCCCTGTTTGGTTTTACAGCTGCACCCCGTGCACAGGCTGCTGTCGGGTGACTGTTCTTCAAACACTTGCTCATAGCGGTGTCATTTATTCAGCTGACGAACATGTCAGTCCCTCTGCAGCTTTATTAGAAAATGAAGACAGATTAAAACCAGATCTTATATAAACAGTGCTCCACCCAGTATCCCTGCTGCCAGTTGGCCTTACTGGAGGTTTAGTTGTATTTTTACTGCAATATAAAAACTCAGCCACGGCTCAGAGCAAAGCAAACTCAAAAATGTAGTTTGGGCAGTTTAGCAAAGTCTTAAGGCCATAAATAATAATAATAATCATAACAATCATAATAATAATAAAATAAACCATGAAAGTCTTTGATTATTTATTTTCCAAACATTGAGAAGATCTGAGATCAACATGTCCAAGTGCCCAAAGATGGTACCAATACTGGTAAAAATCAATAAATAATGATAATATATTATATATAGATATTTTACTACTTTACATTATTTTTCTCACTATTCTGCACATTCACTCCAGACAGATATCCCACCATACTTGCAACATCTGCATCTATGTCAGTGTTTAAGCGTGTTTCATTTTTCTCTTGAACGTTTCGTCTCCTCTCTGCTTTCAGTCATGACATCCTGGTTTCACTAAGAAGAGCAGAACTTTTTCTGTTTTTGATGAAAGCGATGGTTACCTTATATTTGGTTCATCTTCCAGACAACACTGCATCTTACACAAAATGACAGTTTGTAAAATTTCTGGCTGATAAACATTATTTTGGCATTTTTCTTCCAAGACCACATGAGTTGATTGATTACCAGAATCAGAACAGTATTTGCACATAAAGTCTCCACTGTGGTTAAATAACATAAATTAAAATGTGTCTGCTTTGCATATAATGTATACTTGGACTGAATCGTTTGATTTAGTGTTTGTAGAGTAAATAAGCAGCTTAGTTTTAATCAGGCTAATGTTTCCCTTCGTATCAGGTAGCTTACGTAACCACATGTTACGGTCAAAATGAGTTCCCTGCTCGCTTTTCTTTGACTTAAGAGCACATTTTACTACCAGACACAAATCCACAATAATTACGCAGCCTTGCTTTTATATGTGCAGTGGAGCACAGAGAGATTTTTTTATATTAATTTCATCAAGTGATGATTAATATCATCAGGTTTATGACTGTTCTTATAGCAACATGTAGACGATTAACCTTCTTCTCTGAGAGTTAAAGGCCTGAGGGGGAACTGCTAAGATGTGTGAGATCTTTTTTTTGGTGGACCTTCCAGTGGTTGTCCTCTAAAGACACGAAGGTTGTTTTCCACCACAAGCACTTGTGACTCTCAGTCCATAGTTTAAGCAGCTCATCTATACCATGGTGCCTCCAGGTGATGTTTGAGTTACATAACGCAGCCTCTGCGATGTGAAGTATCCACTTAACATACCAAAGCTGTACTCACTCTATTCCCAGTCCCCTATCATGAATGTCTGCTGGCCCAGCTCCAGCGTGATAGCCCGGCGTTACGTAAAAAGGAGTGTTTTAAGAAGTAAGATTAGCCGCGAAAGCAGAGTCGCTTCAGCTTCGCAGGCTTAGTTTTATGATTAAGTCTCAACGAGGCTAGTTATCAGTCAGCTTAGCCTTAGCTTAGCCCTATAAAACGGGATCATAATGAGATAAATCAAAACCACGTTGCT